CGCCCCGTCCTGTCCACGGGCCCCGAGAATCTCTCCGCGCGCCTATCGGCCAACCACCGATTCCGATCTCCGAGTTACACGCGATACATCGGTGTATCCGTTTACCCCCTTCGGCCAGTTGCTACTTTCTTACTCTCGCCACACCCGCTCCCGACTTTCCTACGCGACCTTCGCCATCAATTCCCCATCAATTCGCCATCAATTCGCCATCAATTCGCCATCAATTCGCGCTCCTGCGCCCGCTAACAACCAGGAATGCGAATTTGTTTCACTCGGCGGACACGCGGGTTGATGCACTGTTACGAAGATTAATGTTCCCGCTGCGGTCGCGGCGAAAGAAACCGGCAGAAGAAGCGCGGATTTCTTCCTGCGGCTGGTTACCGAGTCACCTGAGAACACCGGCTTTTCTAGGAACACCGCTATCGAGGGAACGCCGCACTTTATCGCGTTACCGTTCGACACTGCGTTACTTTCTTCCCTGCCACACGACCCGACGATCCGGTAACGTCACGGCTGTCACGCGACGCGTCAAACGACCGGGGGGATTTCCTACGCACGCGTGTACCGCGGTCCCGAGATTTTCCGAGAAAGGAGTCGGTTTTCGGGACCCACGGTTGCGCGATCTTTGGAATGTTTTAGTACTGGAAATTTCCACCGTCTTCGGAGTTTCTGCTTTTAGAGAGGTTTATCAACGGAAAGACGGGAAGAGGAAGCAGCGCTGAAAGCAGACGCGCGAACTTCTCGCGTTTCATTGTCCCAGCTCGTTCCACCCGCAGGAAAAGTCGTTTCGCGTGCACACGGATCCCTGACCTTTACGTCACAACCGGTCTCTCGGCGATACGAGCGAGAAACCTGGCCGACGAGTTCTCGCGAGATGTTCCACGGCTTTTCAAGGCCCTGCCAGCTCTAGAGCGTGGCTTCCGGTATTTCGTTCCGCGAACGGCCTCGCTTCCGGACCACATGTTCCCCTAATCCGTGGTTACCGCGCGGCCCGTGTTTCCCATGAGGAACGCGCCTCGATCCCGGCCGATTTTTCCTCCGGGAAACGGTACCGACGTCCACCTCGTCCATCTCGCGCTACTTCGTCGGGGTTTTACGGTTTTCCAAACACCGTTCGACGTCGGCGGAACAATGAGAAATTCCTGCTCGCAAGCGTTCCGTAAAATAAACCTACAAAGTAAACGCTCGACGCGCATTGCACCGTGCCAGCAACGCGAGGCAAATTTATCGGCTGCCTCTACCTGCGAGTCAGCGAAATATCAAACCGAGCTCCGTTAAGTCGGACACGGGGAGCAGGCGAGAAAAATCGACCAACGAATCGGAGGATCGCATCGTCGGGGATAATATATCGACGCCGTTCGGCTCTGACACGCGATTCGTTGCGTCCACTGGTCCCCACTGGTCCCCGCCGATTGTTCCGAGCAGCGTAATTGATATCCGGCGTCGGTCGTTTAATTATCCCGTTTATGAAAGCCCTAGCTCCCCCGGGATTATCTCCGGGCCTCGAAATCGCCGCGCGAATCATGGCCTCCACCTCCTTCTCCACCTTCTCCAGCTCCTCCACCCTCGACGTCCCGGCGAGAGCACGAATTTCCATTTGTCTTGGCTCTCCCGTGGCCGGACTCGTGACTAGGCACAATGATCTCGTAACAAATGCACTCGGCCCTCGCGGAGGCGTTCCCTGTATCCTTGGGACGTCGACGGGATCGCCACGGGCGAATCTATCCCCCTTATTAACTCGTCGACCGGTAACGAACTAGTTTTAGAGATCCCGGCCATGGAACGAGAGGCCCTTCTCCCGCTGCTGCAGAAACCGATCGAGCTATCGATAGCGGACGGGTCGCCGTGCCACGGACGACCTTATCGGTCCTGGCCCAACGTCCACCGCGAGTTTCCACCCTCGACCCAGAAAAACCCCGAGCGACGGCAATTAAACGCTGCTACTGGTCGTTCGTTAAACGAACCAGTGCGCGGTGATTACGTTGCATGCATAAGCGACGCGCATCTCCAGCCACGCGTTCTTTCCGCCGCCATTTTTGAGGCTTCGACGAGGATGATGAACGGTAATGAGCGACGTAATTGCGTCCATAGGCCATTTTTCTGCCTTCGAAATATCGCGTCGGTTGCTGTACCCCGTGTCGTTGTACCTTCCAACGTAATTTAATAATTTCCCTGCCCCCCGTCCCCGTTGCAGCGAGCAATTATTCTTGCCAGCAGTTCCAATTAAGTCCTCGCGGATAGCCGGCATTTAAATCCATTTCGAGCTTCAACGCGATCGTAAACCGATCTGCTAATTAATTTCTCGGCAAGTTATGTCCTCGCCCGGGAAAGCACTCCTGCGTCGTTATCCGCTACCGTCTTCTTTGCCTCGACTAGCTCTTCGAGTCCCATCGTCCTGTCTCCAGCCGTGGCTGATGTCCGTGTCCAGCATTTTCTTTCCACTCGCTGGGCGAGCGGATCGATAATTTTCAACCGATACCGACGATCGACTTAACGAGTCGGCCAATAATCGTCTAACAAACTCGCCAAACACGCCGGACACCGTATTCCGTTAAAGCAGACGCGAGGTGAACGCTTAGACGCGAGATGGTCGCTCGGACGCGAGATGGTCGCTACCCGAGTCAACTGGCGAATCGAATATCGCGCGAATGGGTCAGTCGTTGTTCCATTTATCCATGGGAACCACGTTTCCGACATTCCTTCCCAACGTTGGGACCAATTTTCGACCGATCAGTCGCCTCGATCGCGTTTCAAAGATCTAACAAGCGCGGAAGACGCGCGGAGGATTGACCAGGCGAGCATCCGTTAACGCGTGCCAACGCCACAGGCAGGTGGCAGAGAAGCTGCTGTTACGCGATCGGATCCACGAGCTGGCGGAGGATCGGTTCGCTGCCGGCGACGAGGAGTCTAGTCGCAGAACCGCGACGAATCCAGGGTCGTTGCGGAGGAACGGCCGTCTGCGCGGCAGCGATCCTCGTGGTTTTAATTAAATCCGACGATGCTGGTAAATTGTTAATCATTAGGAGGAGATAAGCGCGCGGATCACCGGTATTTATTAGAATCAGGCATTCCACGGC